ATGAATATCTCGGGCGCCATATAGGGAACGGTTCCGCACTTCTGAGTCAAGAGACGCTCTTTCCCTGAATGTCTGAATAGTGTCGACATTCCGAAGTCAGAGATCTTTATATTGTCTGCAAAAACATATCAAACATTCAATTCATTACAAACTCTGAAAACTTATTATAAATTGAATGCAAACCGTTGTCATCGAGCAATAGGTTTTCGGACTTAATATTTCTATGGATTATAATTATAGCCAATGACCACAATGTGTTACTGTAGCCCAAAGTGTGCGATTAAAGAGACACGTGAGTTTATGACGTTCAAAATAGGCTACAGAATTCCTATTTGAACAGTCACAAGATTGGACGCATTCTCGATGTTCAGTGGCATATCTCCCGGCGCCGACTCAGCCCTCACATCAGTCATAAGCCTACTATCACTCGTCCACACATTAAACCAAATAGAGGTGAAGAATGGGATCAAACAAATGGGTGACAAAAAGAATGTCTTATTCGCGCTCTTCGACGGCGAGGAGTTTGATTACATCGGTTCCAGTTCTGTGGTCTTCAACATGAATGCCAACAAATTTCCTGAAGATCCCATTCCCAGCGAAATCAATGATCCGATGGACATATCGTCCATCATTTCCAGACATATCTCGCATTTCATTGAATTAAATCAATTGGCGTTTCACTCAAACGATAGCAAACTTTTTATACACAAAAACTTGGACTCAAACGACAAATTGAATTCTTTGCAGAATCTCATCAAAGATAATGCAAATGGTTTACAGGGTCTGGAGGTTGAGAGTGTCTCAGATGGCCAACCATTGCCTCCATCATCGCTCCAGAGTTTTTTCAAAGATAATGAGTCACTCATTGGTGTCGTTATCGCTAACCATCGCAAATAATATACGAATAAATTCTATAACAGTTTGTACGACGACTTCAATAGACTAAACAAAACCGATAAGAATCTCACCAAACATTTGGCAAACATCTCGACAATGATTTCAAACACAATCTATCAGTTATTGTCTAATAATAAATACATTTTAAAATCAAATCTTATTCGTTTAATACAATAAAAATACATATAAATAGAGAGACAACGCTCAGTCATGTTTAGCACCGGAATGTTTGGGGTATATATGGGCGCCGATGGCGTACTTCAGGGATATAAGCGCCACGTCTTTACCCATTTGCAGCCAACTCCAGACGGGCACCACTTTCGAGCCCTCAATCTCTGTCCACCGGACGGCGATCTCTCCGATATTTACGCCCAACTTCTCGGCGATGAGTAGGAGCTCGACATCGAAGGCCCACTTCTGGCAGTGGATGTGCTGGAACAGTGTCCTCGCCATCGACCGCTCGAACAGTTTGAACCCACACTGAGTGTCACGTACTGTACGTACGGTCAGAAGCCAGACGCCGAAGTGGAAGCCGTGCATCAGAACCGTCCGGAAGAGGGAACGGGTGGCGATGGCCTCGGACTGGAGGTGCGCTCGCGAGCCAATCGCCAGCGCCGATCGCGTCGAGTCCCGGTGTTTGGCCACAAAGTCCTCCAACTTCTGGAAGTCGGCGAAACGGGTGGCGCCGTCCGCGTCGGCGAACAACACGAGCCGACCCCTCGCGCACAACACCCCCAACTGGACGGCGCCTCCTTTGCCCCGATTGTAGGCCAGTGTCAGGCATCGGATCCGTTCGCAGCCGTACTTCAGTGAGTAGTCGTGCGCCACATGAGTGGTGCGGTCGTCGCTGCCGTCGTCGACCACTATTATCTCGTATGCGAACAGTTGGTCACCAAATGGTGTGGTCTTCGCGCGACATCTGGTCTCCAAGTAGTCGATGGTCTCGTCCAACATCTTCGGCAGCCGTTGCGACTCATTGAACGCCGGGACGATCACCGATAGGTAGACGGAAGGCTCGTCCGATGATAGCAGCGATGGGAAGCGATGTCTTTGTTTGGTCTTCGGGTCCGTGAAGTAGTGCTCAGACTCTTCGCGACGAATGACTGGTATGCGAGTGGATAGGAGTCGCAGCACAAGACATGAGATCACAAATACGGTGACTATTGTGAGGAGTAGTAGTGATAATAGTTGTGTCCAACACTCGCAATGCAAATGCATTTTGAATTGTCATTGAAATGAGTGCTTAATTGTGGCGATAATTGCGTTCAATATGTGAACTCAGATTTCAATCACACTTTTCATTGCATTCAGTGTTTGGGTTTCGATGTAAACATTGGGTTTGCATTACACGTGGACTCCCGGACTGTCAACAGTAATAACGTTTTGAATGTAAAGTTTGCGATAAACATATGGTTTGTTAAAGTTTTGACAGTAGTTTTAAGTTTGTGTTTATATAAATCAGTGGATATGTGTTTTAAAACTTTAAAAGGATTTAAAAGGCTTTCGTAACACTACGTAAGCCTTTGTATGTATTGTGAGTAGTTTTGTAGACATAATGTGTTGTTTTGACAATAGATGACAATTGTATTACAGTTTAGGAATGCATTGTAAAAGTCTATTCAATTAGCGTTGAACTGTAAGCCTATCTCTTATGATTGAATGAATGTATTGAATGAATAAATTATTTCAAATATGATAACTATTTACAGGTCGCAAGAGTTTAAAATTGTGTATAAAAAGTACCCTGAGTACACTGATGTACAAAATGAGTTTTATGCACTATATATGTAACTGAATACAAGTTGTATCCAGTAATAGGAAAAATATGATTGAGAAAAATGTTGTAAAACGCTATGCTATGCATGTAATACACCCACTGATAACTAACACTCATTCATTAGATTTACGAATATAATTTATGATCAAATATGATACAGTATACTATTAAATGATTATATGACTCAATATATTGTTCACAAGATTTCTCTAGTTTTCTTGGTTTTCATTTCATTGATACCAGAATCTTGCTAATCAAGTGTACGGGTATTGCAAGAGTTTATGAGTAATCATAGCATTAACTATCAGAATAATTAGTAAAATATTTTATTAACTATAAAACAATTGCTAAAAATAATATTAAACACATTTTTCCAGATAATTGTTTTGCCGATTATGTAACGCTACAATTATTAATAATTAATAAACGCGATGATTTAATGGAAATAATATTTTATTTGTCAAATAAACAAAAAACTTTAATTCACATAATTATCAATAGGAATATTTTCTTTACAATAAAATACTTTTACAAATTTCTTCAATAAAATGAGAGAATTATTTATAATTATTATTATTATATTTTAATGGAAATACAATGTTTGGACAATTGAATAGAAAATATATATGTTATTTGCTTGCTAATTTTTCATTTAATTAACAAAATATTTTTCATTATCTAATTTATTGATTGCTTTTATAATCATATTTAGTATACAATTCAATTGAAAGGCCGATACGTTTTACAGGTATTTTGTTTGACACGTTTTGGTTTTGATTTCATTACCTTTTTTATTACATTATGAGAGGGAATCAGAGGCAAGAATATTGTGAGTGAAGTGTTTGTCGGACTTAATATACACATGAATTTTGTTTAGAAAACATTAATATATGATTTGATTTCATTGATTCTTTACAATCAGTGTTTATTCCGCTATTCACGGCATTCAATGGCAAGAATTGAGTGCAAAAAAGGGGTTTTGAAAATATATTTTTTACAAATTCAATACAAATAGTGTCTTAAAAAATTATTTTTGTGTAATTGAAAGACAAGTTATTTATACGAGTAATTCAAAGTTCACTATGAAATGGAAAAAAGTTTATTGCAAACCGCGAATCGCTTTTCTCAATCAAATCATATCATATATATTGTAATTACAATATATAAAAAATATACTGTAGCATGTTTTGAATCCTTACAGTATTATCATCCGTACAATAATCTAATGAATATAAAAAGCGACTTGAAATGTTATAAATGATAAGACAACATGATTAGTAGTGAACAACCATTTGATTTAATACACATTGAGAGTGAAGGAGAAACAAATAAGATATGCTTTTATCATATCTTTGTGGCAGAGGTAGTAAACCGGAACTGTCACTGAATTCCCAGTAATATCAGTGCAAATAATAATTGTTTTTCATGTCTAATGAGTTAAATCAGTAAAGATTGTTTGGAAATATTTTTTTCATACAGATATCATAATTAAAAAAAAGTTTTTTATTTCATTAGCTATTGTACAATACTGTAGACGTGTGTTGTGTAGTTTGGATAGGGATGTATTAATGTGCACCTGATGTCAAAATGAGGTGGTGGTGGTGGTGGTAGGGGGTTGGGAAGTGATGGCAATTTCTTAATTTATTAAACTATACACTAATTTATTATTAAATATAATATAAAATTATAATTTGTTTGATGCGATAGTGTAGTCGAGTAGTGGTTTAAAGTCAAGGCTATGTAATGTACGTAATAGGCTCTCGCGTATCAATGATAAAACATTTTTGAGTGAAAAAAGCGGAATTAATTAATTAACTCAACATTAAAAACACACCAAATTTCATATCCCATTCCTGTCTCTGAGTTTTTTAAGACTCATATTTCGCTTTTGCGGAAATCAAGTATTAGTTTTTTTAATGTGTATTTTTGTCGTCAAAACCATTCGCTATTTAATGTGAATAACAATTAATGAAAAAAAAGTAACTTAAAACACATATATTTTGTACATTTGAGCTAAATATTCATATAAAACACCACTAACTCTGCCGTTTTGCGGCAAACAATTATATTTACCGATAATTACATTAATTTAAAAATTATTATTACATTACATAATAATAATAGCAAAGACTTTAGGACTAGACACAAAAAAATTAATTTATATAAGTTATAAAACAAGAGGGAATTTGCAAATGAATGCAATTTCAGGTAACAGTTATTGATTTCAGTAGAAGTTATGTTTTTGCGGGACTTAACACTTGAATTAAGAAAATACACTAAAAAATTAATGATAAAAATTATAAAATAAAAGTTTAATATCACATAAACGGGAGACATATAACTGTGTCCGGCAAAATGATAGTAGCATTTAATATGAGCTCTTAATTATTTAACAGTAAATTATTTTAAAGGCACTTATTATAATCGCATCGTATTTCGAGAGCAATATTTTTGTCGGATATACATTCACTCGCAAAATATTGCATTTGAAAAATGGGTTTTAATTGTTTTTAATACTTTTTTATGTCAAAAAAACTAAATAACATATTTATATATTTATATATATATTGCGAAACTAATTAATCAATCAATTAATTAAATATTTATAATAAAAAATAATATATCGAAATATATTTCAACTGTATTTATATTTATATAACTTATATATGTGTTGTATGCGTTCAGTCTCTATACAAACATATAATATATTTTATATATAATATAAAAAACTTCAATTTTATATTATTAACTGTTTGGGCGCAGTGGCGGGCGGGTCGGTGCCGGACGGGTGGGTGTAGTAGTAATATGTGTCTATGTCTATGTTTGGGGGGCACCGGTACTCTACAAAAATCACTGCAACACCGATATAGACTTAGACGACGGCGAGAACAGTATCTGGGGGTCGAATGGCGAATAGGGTGGGCCCGCGAACAAGGGCGACAGAGACAGACCGAAACTGGTGGGCGTCGCGGGACCGCCGCCGGCGCCCGGATGATGGCCGACGCCCGGGAACTGGAAGTGCGTGCCGTTCGTGGTATACCTGGGCGACAGCATGAGAGGGGACAGGCTGTTCCAGAAGCTGAAGGCGTTGGGCAGCATCGCCGCCGAGTGCGTGGCTTTGCCTAAGAAGGGCGACGCAAACGTCACGATCGGCGTCTGCAAGGACTGGGCGAACGCGTGGCTGAATCGCGTGGGACTGGTAGGTATGCCAGTGATCGGCGGCGGCTTCGGCTTGAACTTCGTGAGCGCCTTCGTGAGCCCCTTCGACGACGACTTGCCGCCCCCGTTGACGGGTGAGCAGCCGTGCGATGAGGTGGAGCTCTCGGCCGACGCCGGCGATGAGGCGGTCGACCGGTTGGAGGGCGACGGCGATCGAGACGACGGTCGCGGAGCTGTTATCTGCCGCAGAGACGACCCCTTCGACCGTTTGATGTGGTGGTGGCCGACGCTGACGCTCGTCGAGTCGCTGTCGGCGCCCTCTGACCCGCACTCCGAGTCTATGTGCTCGTTGTGGAGGCGCTTATGATTCTTGTTAATAGTTTTGGTGTTATTATTGTTAATACAATTGTTGCCCGAAATGGTGGAGCCGTTGGAAGCGTTGCTTTTGCAGGACAGGTCTGTCGGCTCATCAGATGACAGATGGTTGCTGTGGAAGAGGTGTGCGTTGCTATTGTGGTGCTGGAGTGGGTGCGAGGAGTGGTGGTGGTGGTGGTGATTGGCCAGTAGGCTGACGCCTGTGTTGGCTACGGTGGTGACCGTGGGCTGTGCGCTGACGGCGCCGTTCGAGGCGCCCATTGACTCCATCTTCTGGTGGAACGGCACCCGAGACTCCATTTTGACGATCTCGGGGAAGGCGACGAACCGGTAGACAAACTTCTGGCCCAACACCTTCTTGATGATGTTCTTGTCGTAGTAGTAGCGCAGTGCCCTGCTCAGTTTGTCGTAGTTCATGTTGTGCTTGTTCTTGCGTAGGCCCCACAGCCGGGCCACCTCCTCGGCGTTCACTAACTTGAACTCCCCGTCCGTATTAGTCCACGTGATTATGTTTTTGTACTGCAAATGCGATTAAGTGTTTGGGTTTATATTTAGTATGCGTTCACATATGAGACGAGTATTTTAGGGTATGTGGGCATGGAGTGGTGATTTATAATGCCCGGGTCCATTTATGGGAAGGGAGGTGTGCGGGTATTGTATTTGATTGCGAGTGCAATTTACCTGATTATTCAACAATAGCTCCAACAAGAATTGCCATAACGTTATGTTAGTCTCCATTCCTAATGCGAGAAAAAAATATGGTTTAGTTATTATTGACAGCGATATAAGTGTCGGTCATATCATAGCAATAATAATAATAATGATAATTCATTGTAAGGGAACGGAAACTAAGAGATAATAGATATGAATAGAGAGCTGAGGGTATTATGCATTTGACTGTACTGTATATGAAAGCCAATGCCAGTAAATAACAGCAATCATATAATAAATTAGTTGCAAAAAATGCCTATTTTTCTCTCTAAACTACACTAATGTGCAGCGAATTGGTAAACATTTTTCGAGTCCCACTCCGAATCGCGGAGCCCTTCAAGAAATTTGAGTCAAAAATCTATATAATTATAATGTAATATAAATACGTAAAAATCTGTCGCTTTTTTCGTACGACAGAGAGAGAGAGAGAGAGAGAGAGATCGGTTCTGGGAAATAGTTGTTTGTCGATTTAAATGACAAAACATATAAATCAACAAAAATAACTATTTTTTAAAAATAAATTATTAAATTAATTAGCAAGAACTGTGAAAATTTAAAATCATTAAATCAAAACATGGTAATCATATCGGTAAAATATATAAATGCATACATACATACAGAATGAGTAATAAACTACACACTGGTGTCTGTAATATATATATATTTTGAATATATTTAGCGAATATCTTATCGAAATCAACACATAATACTGCAAAGAGTTGCTAAAAAAGGGGCAAATCCTACATATAATTACTTCTAAATGTATGATATATTACGGGCAACGCGTTCGGCGAATACCAGTACCCTATCTATCAAAATAAATTTGCAGCTCAAACGGGATGTTAATCCTTAACAATTTAACTGAACATATCGTTCAGTGAAAAACAGGAACAAATCGCTAAATAGTGTATCAATTGGAAGAGGAAATCCGTTTTCAGTCTACCCTACACTCGATATGTTTTAATTTATATATATTACATTATATTATATTTAGCGTATCGTTTAGGCAGTAAACCAAAAAATACTTTTTTTTAATATGTAATACTTATATTACAGACAAATTTTTTTCGCAGCTAAATTAAATAACTTTTTTTCTAAATCAATATCAATATCTCATACCATAAAAACGCGGCGAAAATTGAATTTATATAAGTAATTGAATACTGAGTTAATTATTGCAATTTGGTGAATAAAATACATGAAAACTTTTGCAATCAATTCATTGAAATAGACATATTTTTGTCGATAGAAACATAAACTACAAACAAGAATAAGATGTTTGACTTTTACGACTATATTAGACGAGAGAATCGCCTAAAAACTCGAGACGAATACAGACAATAAATGCCTAAATAAACAAAATATCAGTCATTTGAAGACAACCACACATTCATATATGATATGCGAAATGTATTATTAAAGACATGAATACATTATACGGTATGTAATGCTTTAGAAGGAAAATCGGAACGTAAGCCGATTTGCGAACAAATAAAGCATTAAAAATCTTATAAAAATGAGTAATAATCATATGGCAATGGGTAGAGTAAGTTTATGTGCATATATGCCTCAGATATGCCTCACTCGGGGGGATAGGGATGGTAATGGTGACCTACTTCCTGGCAGGAGACTGTCAATGTATCCGATACTCCGAGGTATCGAATGGTGATCTCCATGAAGTTGTTGTCGAAATAAAGGATAAAATGCCATTTAATGGAACAGATATATGACACACACAGGCGAGTCCACACACACGGAGCACTGAGCACTGGTATGTTGTATTGAGGTATGGAGTCCAAGTTTTTTAGGGCTATCGCACAATCAATTATTTTATGTTTCTTTGGCTCACTTGTGGTGTCGATCAAGAAATTCAGTGGCAATCGAGAGATGAATGAATAATAAGAGAGCGAATGCGAGAGAGAGAGAGAGAGAGAGAGAGAGAGAGAGAGAAGTTGTTATAAGTTATTATGTGAGCAAAACTTCCTCCAAAACTTTTCAAAAGTCTTGATGTGTTTGGGAATTGCAACACATTTTTGTGTATTTTGTAGTTCAACACCAGTTTTCTATTGAATAGTATTTATTTTCTTCGAGAGTCACTCCGTATAAGTAATTTTAATGAGAAAAACACATCAATTGTGCGAACGATATATTAAACATTAAGAAAACTTTTTTGCATTAAATCTGTTTATCGCACGAAAACTTCCTTTTGGAGCAAAACTGTTCAATCAAATGAGATTTTGCAGCAAAACTTTTTCTCTCGCAATTCAATCGCAAATTATTCACTCGATTTGCAAAATACACACAACAAATATATACTGAATGTATGTAATTAGGGAATAATAATTTCGCATAAAATTAATATCATATCTGCAAAAGTTGTTTTACAGTCGAGTTTTGAGTCCATAAAATAGTCGCTTCTTTTTTAGTACCTTTTGTTGCAATAAATGCCACAAAACACATAATAATCGCACAATTATTGTCTTTTCATAAGAACCGATTTATGCATCAAAAAATAAATGCAATAATTTATATATAGATATTAAATACGAGACAAACATCAGTTGCCAACCCAACACACACTCACATACACCACAAAATATCTAATGATTTCAAAAGTCGTGTCTCACATAAGCAGTGAATCTTCAAGAATGAGCGCTAGAATCGGTTAACAAAATCATATATACAGTACAACTCATTGCAAGACTATGTGTGTCTGTGTTTGGGGGAGAAATCTATTTTCAATCAAACAATTCATTGTCAACACCGCATGAAATGCTGGTGCGATTAGTGAGGGGATGGAGTGAAACAACACACAACCGAATCAATGACTGACTGAATGTCACTTTACTTATGAGAGAGAGAGGCAGCAAAAAATGTGTACCATTTATAATGAACTACAGTACACAATAACTTGCGCTTATGTATGTGATATGGTATATACCGTATATGTGTGCGTATAGTGTATGCACTGCACGGCACAGATCACAATTAGGTCTCAATCTCTCGGTCTACACACAAATCTCACTCATTTGTTGTCGAGAGCGAGAAAAAAGACAATCAATTATAAACATATGAAAAAACGTATGTATGGTTAGAATTCTCGGTCATCACTCTTATTTTGAAGGTCTTTGATCGGAAAAGTGTGTTCAGATAGTGAGACATATAGGAGGCACAGGTAGGGCCGGACCCGGACGACTTGCGGAGGGAACACCAGGCACCGCTCAGTCAAGACATACATGTCTTTTACTGTTAGTATTGTCTTCTGATTATTATTGTCTGTGTGTTTAGGTTTCGTTTGAATGCATTTCTATAACTTTGTCCCCAACGATACCTCTAAAGCCAATACTCTCGACAACCCATAGCCATACCCACCAACACATACACAGATAGGCACAGTTATAGAGGACAGGCCGTCTTACTTACCTCGAATTAGTCGAGCGATACCACCGGTGCCGCCAACGCCATACACACACCAGTGCCTCACTTGCAGTATTTGGTACGAGAGAAATGGTTTGAGAGAAAACTTAAACACAAAACGACAACCTCTGCGACAGTGAGAGAGACTATTACAAGCGATTTAATTGCACACCTGAGCGACCGTAGGATTGCATGCAATGGTTAGGCATGAGTTGGGGATTCAGGAGTCATAACACTGTGTGTATGAGAGAGAAGACAAGAACGGGTTTTCCGACCAACCGGTGAATTGGCGAAAATGTGAGAGAAAGACAATGACATTGACAGGCCTACTGACACACTTACGGCTCAGATATCAGCACAATGCCTACCAGTGCTTCTCTCACTCTATGAGAAAAGCCTTTAAACACAGTCTCTATCTGTAAGTCATTAGTGTTGCCGAAGATTCTCTCTTTTGCCCGAATTATTCACTCAATCGGAACTATAATATAGTTTTGAGAAAAGAGTTTTTTGCTTTTTGTTTGGCGTATATATTATATGTATTATTACATTATATTTTCGTTTCAATTATTGTAATCTTTAAACTCCTTTTTTCTACTCATTTGTCTCGTATTTCGCACAATACATCCCTTTATTCTCTCGACACACAAGTAGTGATTGTTTTTTCGAGTTTCTTTCAATGAGTTTCTCGCGATGAGTATTACAAACGGTTTGTGCTATTAATTGGTATTATATTTCTGCAGATTGTATACGAAGAATGTGATGCCATTGGGTTGAGGGGAGGGGATGGCGTGGAAAGGCATAGGCAATGAACTTAACGCAGTTATGGACACAAACCTCGAAACATTATAATTAAAGCCTCGCGAGAAGACACACACAACCACTCGTTTGACACTTATGTCCGCTTTTTTCACATCTGATAATATTCTTACAAAATCCAGACAACAGTTATTGTGTAATACCTGTTGTGTGCGATATATTACACACACAAACACACAGGGAATGAGGCGATTGAATGCCAGGGCCTGACTTACAGGCATACATACGAGTGCATCAAATTAAGGCCAAATTCCTACTTCTTTTGAATTACTTTTTGATTTAATTATTTTTCACTCAAATATCTCATCGCAATTCTATGCCCAATGTCTTGAATGTCATCTCCTTTTGATTATATCCTTATATTATAGTCTCATAGTCTCTCTCTCTCGCTCTCGCAGTAATTGTGCGAATAGTTTTGCGGCAATTAATATGTGAGACAAAAATTATGGGGAGGACTGGCGGACTGGCATATATTTAATATATATCCTCAAACATTCAATACGATTCATGAATATTATTATAAATAATGCGATCGAATAACGGAAATTTGAAATTAAATACACTATTGAAATAGCAGTGCTTTTGTGCAAATATTTGTTGATTTATTACGGCTTTTATTACCAGTATATGAATTATAAAATTTATATTTTGTCATTATTTGTGCCACGGATTATGTTCAAGTGAACTGCATATCCAATGCTCGATATATTATATACATTTAACACCCGATTATAAACACATATAATAATAAATTAGAGGGAATTCTGTGGCAAAAGCAGAGCCAATGTCTGAACCAAAAAAACAAAGCAAAAGTCCTGTTAATAGCCGTCGAGTCGAGTGTATAATTAGACACCAAAAGGAAGACATAACTCATAGTCTGAGAGAAACTTTATTTTTACCGACGATTTAATACTGGAAACCCAACCGAAATGAATAAGAAATGAGTGAAGAAAGGAAAGAAAATGAGAGAAATTAGCGAAGAAAATAGTGACAGCAATGCAATGGACCGGCACTTGAAGTTTAAAAATCGTTGCGAGACTAGTGTAGGGGATAAGAGAAAACGGAAGAAGTCATTAAATGCGATCATTTCTCTGGCACTCATCTCATGGCCCGACCGGTGCTCATACACTCTCTGTGCCTATGCTGTACAACAAGTGGTTGTGTCTATCAGTCTATTGTGAGACGAATGCTTAATACAAACCACAGGATATATGCATTAATGAACACAACTCCGTAGCCCAGTGTATGAAATGGCACTAAAAATACAATTTAAGCCAACAGTATATTTAACAACAATATAATCATAATAACAATGAGATGATGGGCTCCCTATCCTCTCATTCTGTCAATGAGCTCTCTCTCTCTCTCTCTCTCTCTCTCTCTCTCGAAATGCATTTGATTTTTAAATTTCACATTTCCTGTCGTTTGTTTGACTAAATTTTCACTCAGAATATGAGCCAAAATAAGATTTTTGTAAAAACACACATACGATAAACAAAACACATTTTTAAAGTGTCGGCGCTCTAAATAGGTAACGGGTTGTGCAACAAAAAACCCAAACAAATTACTAAACAAACAGACGTTTATAATTCTGGCGACTAATTTGAATTTAATATTCACGAATACGATTGCAAATTGCCAATAAAAATATTATTACTATAAATATACCTTACATTTCAATACTTTTATAAACAGGCAGAGAGTGCATAGGAATCTAATAATTTGCTCATAAAATACAATTAGACAAACAAATACACTTTATAATAAAGTTTTTGCAGTCATTCACTAAATATGATTGTGTTTTTGTTTGTATGTTATACTGCTTTCTCACAACTAACACATAAAGTCCTAATTTTGAGCATTTTTTAATACACGCTAATCATTATAAAAATATAAAAGGGCTCCGATTTTTCCCTTTAGATATCAGGAAGAATTTGGCATAAAATGTATTAATCAGTTGTCATCTGACACATGGAAAAAAGAGTGAATAATAATAATAATAATAAATAATTTTCTAACTAAATATTTGGGTAGAAATATACGGCACTAACATAAGAGTCCTTTTCTTTCTTCTCACAAACGCTTATAAAATGTGCAAAATTTTCCTCAATTTCTGTGGCAATGAATGGAAACCATTTCGCAGAAGAAACAAAATAAAAGAGATTATAATTTATATTTTTTTTCGGCCACTACTCTGGAGTACCGGGGCTTATAATTTGCCAGAATATAGTAGTTCACACACTCATACCATATGCATGCATAATATCTATACCAGTATTCGCCCAATTATTGCACAAATTATTTATTTATTTTATTCTCTCTCTCTCTCTCTCTCTCTCTCTTATGTGAGAGAGATTAAGGATAAGTAACTCTAAAGGTTAGCTCCGAAATCACGATTCGATTCATTCAATTATAATATAAATACACGAAAAGTAATTTTGATAAAAAACTCGAGAGAATAAAAAAATAAATTATTTCAAAGGGATGAGAGAAATGTCACCTAAATCTTGAAGTTTACACATAATAACACTCATACGAAACGCGCACACATAAGAAAAAACAAAAGTTATAATACTTGTGGCTTACATAATATGTGATGTGAATCATGAATATAATAAAAAGGATTTTTCAAATCAAAAACCTAATTAATATGAATATGTATTTATGAGGATTGAGTACAATATATGCAGGCGTTTTGTTAGCCATATATAAAAAACACTTCATGTATGAGGCATTGCTTATGTTGGAAAATATGACAAATTGTTAATTAAATTTTGCGTTAAGAATAAGAATTATATGTTTAGTTTGCTTATTGAGTAGTCGATTATAATTTTGGTAAACAATAATATAAAAATCGCCTAAAAACAGTTCAGTCAAATGCGGTCCCCTATCAGCCCTAATAACACTAATTAATGATAATTACCTCTTGATGTGAATGAATGGTCCATATCTTAGCGATCGGTAAAAAACGCGTTTTTCTATTGTATTGTTTTGCTATTTAGTGTGAATTGTGTTTTTTGATTGTAATAATTATGAATAAATCAAAAAATAAGGAGACCGTTGAATGAATGCAAATATACGGCACTTCGGTGTACAGGTTCAGCAATAATATGAATCTGCAATAAATGAGAATGAAAAACAATTTTCATTATAATAAACTCAAAAAATCAAAAAATAATCGTTCATTACATATTCAAACAGTCATTGTATATATAATGCATGGATTAGTATAAAGAGAGTCAGCATTTAATTTTGAAAACCAAACGATACATTGAGTTTCGCAATTGGTTTTCGGTATAAAAATAAAATTATATAAAATATCTAATCATTGCATCAAATCTCTGCTTCGAGTTGTTAGTAGTTCTCGATTTGAAATAAGACAGGAATTCTCTCTCTCTCTCTCTCTCTCACTCACTCACCGGTTATAACTGACCAAACAAACATTCACTAGAAATACCAATAAAAACAATTTATGCCTCAATTATGTCGAAAAGAAATATTATTTGCAAATTATTGTTCACTGTTTGCAAAACTGAAATGCCTTTTCTTATAATGTTATGCACTTTCAGAGACAAACCTTTTGTCTGTTGTCTCAGGTTTTACATATTATTTGCCATCAATTTCTTAAAGGAATTTTTCTTTTGAAAATATTTGTCGATTTATGTGTGTGTGAGTGAGTGAGAGAGAGAGAGAGAGAGAGAGAGGCAAATTAATTATGAATGTCCGGATGGTATTATTATTATCGGCAGATAATATAGTGGAAAGGCTCCCCACAAACCCCTATGACTATAGCCACCGAATTTGCCCCAAAGGCTGATCATCAGTGCGCTGACGCCTTCAGGACAAGTGTTTTGTGGAGAGAGAGAGAGAGAGAGAGAGAGAGAGAGAGAGAACTGAGAGCCCGGGAATGTGAGGTCAAGGACAGGCCCTTTACGCCGAAAAAAGAGTGAAGAATTTGTGGTGTTGGAGCTCCAAATGGTAGACTCCATGCGCCAGCTATTAATATGTCTTAAGTGGTAACTTAAAGTTGTCTATAAATGCATTGCAATCGGAATATAAACAGCGAAATACATTCAGCAAAAGGAAAGGCCCCTCGTCTTATCATTTGATTTAATAGTGTTTAACATAAAAAATAAGAGAAATATATTTAATTTCTGTTTATTTATATGATATATAAGACGAGCGATAGAGTGAAGCGTAAAAAATAAAAATTTTCAGTAGATTTACAGTGTTTTATATCATATGTATTGATAGAAACAACTCTCCAAAGAGGACTGGAAGTCCCGGCGACCGGTTCTACAAGAATATAGTGACTAAAAAAGCGTTTTAAAACATCTAATTGTAATGATTTTGCAGTGAGTGAGCGAAAGAGAGAGAGAGAGAGAGAGAGAGAGAGACCGAGAGAGAAGGAATTCATGAATACGACGGCCTCGGCGTACGTCCTTCGGCTTCCGGATGCAATCTTGCATTTCTCGTCTCTCTCTCTCGCCATAGCCTAACAGTGCAAACAACTCCACACTCAACCAAAAAACCACTAAATATTGTACTTAAAAAATAGCACCAAAAATATTAGAAATTATGAAATACTTGTAAAACAAAAATGAAACAAAATTTATTGGCGAGTGAGAAGTATATTAAATATAGTCGGATATTAAACAACAACAACAAATAATATCGAGAGAGAGAGAGAGAGAGAGAGAGAGATTTTAATTACAAATTCAAATGCATTTTCATTTTAAAATTCAGGATTCAATTTGTCTTTCTTTTACAACGCAAATATTCCTTTAAAAATATTATTTAACAATAATTTTCCCGTAAAAACACCACGAAATGAGAAATATTAAAAGGATTTCCAGTGGAATAGTAGTAATAATAATACTGTGAACTCAAATCGGATTTAATACAAAAATTTTCCTCTTCTCTCTAAAGTTTAAGTATTTATTTATTTCTTCGTAAATCAAAACTACTATTCAATGCTAAAAGACTTTGTTTTTTGTGTGTTTGTTGTATAACACAAATCCTGAGCTCATAATTATATATTATATATACGAGTATATTATGACTTTAGATTACAATAACTTGTTTTCAAAAAGCATTGTTTGAATCAAGAATTATGCCAAATATGAAAATGACAAAAATAATTGAGAATAAGTTGAGATATATATTACTTATGCATATTGAATACAAATATCATATTATAGTACACCAGTATTTATAGATATAATATTGTATAATCTGTCAGAATCGATGATTTGGATAGTATTTAATGCAAAATATTTTCCTAAGTTATGCTTAACTTTGTATTCATTAATTTGAGGAAATAATAGACACATAAGGAATGCATTTTCAAGTCAGAGGAGAGAGAGAGAGAGAGCTTTAGTAGTGTGTGTTTAGCAAGAAGTTGTATTACTTGATGACTGTTTAAACTGTGGCCACAAGTTATTTGGCAGTCATTGGCAGTGAATGTGTTGTTGTCTAATATAATACGAGATTTTCTCTTTTTTTAGTTAACACTTCGCACGAAAAGTTTGCGAAATTTTTAAAGACATAAGACATATGTGACTACAGGAGGGAGAGAGAGAAAACCAATACAAGAAAGGGAGAGATAAAGAGAGAGCGATTGACTGCAATTTGAACACTCATTTTGAAGTCCAGATAAAGCCAAACGCTGAAACAGGAGTTTGTTTAAAAAAAGTTTTTCAAGAGGTTTAGGGAATAAGTAAATCAAAAAAATTTCAACAATTCTCTCTCCGGTCTCTCTCTCTCTCTCTCTCTCTCTCATCAAATGCTTCCTTCTGTTCGATATATACGATTGGTTCACATATACTGAACATAACATACAATTCAGAACAACAGGATATACACCAGAAAAAAAGTGGACAAAAATATACTGTATTTTGGTTATAAACATACCGTTAATGAGCTCACTGTGTATTTTTGAAACACATTTTTGAAAGGTATAAACGAAATGCTATTAAACTTTTATTCTGCCATTAATGCATTTATTATATATATTATATAATCGCATAAACAGAGACACACAGAAAAAATGTTATTAATAAATCAAATATTGATTTTCCACTCGGCATTTGAACTAAATTTTTAACAGCAAAGTGAGAGCTAATGATTAGAATAATAGTTTAGATAATTATTATATGAATGCACTTATAATTTCATATTAAAAAACTATATCTCAATATTTAATATCGATATTACATACGAATCGCGCAAAAACAGAGTACTGTTTGTTGAGATAAACCATTTAATTAGATTCTGTACACACTATAAGTGGTTACCACTAAATAAAAAATATATATATATTTAATACTTTTACATTCAGTTTTGTAAATGGAAATTATATTTATGAAATATTTATTTAAGCACATTATTTATATAATTAATTAAAAGCCAACACTTTTTTGGTTGTGTATGCATTTGAATTCATAGCGACAGCAATATTTGTTGCTCAAAAAACTAATGGTTCGCTACTAAACCTTTATTTTAATGATATAAATGCCATTAATTAAGAGATTTTTTAAAACACAAAAAATTGTTATAAAATATGTTATGAAATTTTTTGAACCTAAATAAGCAATTAATTGTCAGTACATTTACGCTGCGTTTTCGTAATATATTAATTGACGGATTAATCGGTAAATTACAGCAAAAATTACAGAATTATATAATAGTGCAAACGGATTGCAAAAAAATGTGTAAAATAAAATATAGCAAAATGTCTGAACAGCAAAAATAATGAGATTAATTACAACTAAGCACTCAATTCTGGAGGGGTTTTGGAGGGGTTTTTCAGTGGATATATAATAGTTTTGTGTCCAATAATCAGTAATCGATTGAATGCATAGCGAAATGCATTAATAAAAATAAAGGTTTGATTTGCACGACAAGAATACTGAGGGGAGAGAATGGGAGAGAGAAAAGTCGTGAAACACACAATGGAAATGGTGTTTAGGCTTTCATTTTGTGATTAACTTTGAAATCATTTTCTAAGCCCTTATATAACCAGCGGATTGTCTGCGAGAGAGAGAAACATTGAATGCTTTCCTAAATTGAGGTGTTTTTGAAAATCAATGTTAAGTTTGATTATTAAATATACAGAAAACAAATGGCAATTCAATGGAGAATTAGTGCGAATCGTATGGTTGTGTGCAATGAGTCGCTAAAAGAGTTGCACTAATTGTTTGCCTTAAATATGTTTAACTTTTCATAAGACATATAATTAATTAGAGACACATTAAAGGCAAAAAACGATATATACTTGTGTACAATGCTATTACAATATAGACAGTAAAAGCCAATCAAAACTAAATTAAGTTTACTTTTGCTTGACTTCACATCAACTCTAATGCCATTTATGTGTAGAATATATTTGGTTTATATTTAGTGAAAAACTAATGGCTTTTTTGTGTCGTGAAGCGACTAAACACTACAGTATTGATAGCCGTTTTGGATATATGTGTGGCACTAAACAGTGGTCTTAAATATATGTAAAACATATCCATATTCACAGAATGTATGAATTCATGTGTAGTATTGTATATAAGCGACAGAATATTGTATTTAAAAGGAAAAAAGTGAAATGAATCTCAAAAATGAGTTTAAAATCAATGAATGTAATTTTAAGAGTATTTAACAATTGAATGAATGACTCACTTGTTGTACACCCGGAGAGATATAAAATATTGTATCACTTGTTGCACAATAACTCAATACAAAACATCTATTTAATATATTTATATGAATTGAGTCTCACTTTTTTGCCAATGAATTGTCCCTTCAATTCAATGTCTTATTCTTATTATGATTATTATTAAGTGTTTTTTTTACAACACAATAGTATTTGTAATTATGTATGTCTTCAGCGATGAGTAACTCAAATACACGGCAAACAAAAAACTTTCAAACAATAATCATAACAATAAAAGGCACACAAAATATTACAAACGAAACAAAAACTAATTAAATTTGATTTATATCTCTAGTATATTATAAGTGTCTCATCATTTTTTTCTCGTAGTGATTGTCTGCTTATTAATTGTCGTAAACACATAATGTGTCACACATTATATACTAGTATATAATTAATACAACAGAATATATATATTATCGGTGGAGTATATCTCAATAGACTGAGCGATGATTGTGTGACATATTATTATTACATACGAAATGCATTCATAAATCCTTTGATTGCATTCACTGAATGCAAAACAGCAGCAAAATGTGAGACCAAAAGGTATTTATTATCAGTAAATATATTATTCACTCCAAAGATATGGTTAAAACTCGAGGAGAGAAACAGCGATGAGTTTGTCAGTCAGTGTAGAGGAGAGAGACACAGAGCTATCGCTGTGAGCTATAGCTATGCTACCAGTGCTCTGAGCGCTGTTCACCAGAATGTATGTGTTGTGAGTGGAGTGGCAGTGAAGGGCCAGGAATTACATGAATTTTTTTGTCTCAAACCCAGAGCCCATACAATACATATCCGGTTAGAGGAGAGCAGCGAAACACACATTTGCGATGAGATCACAGCCACAGAGCGCTGGCATTGCAGTGGCGAAGGGCTCACGAAACGAGTCCAGAGCTCCCCATACGAGCAGCCAATTCCCAGCCCCCTCTGTGCGAGCAGAAAGATGGATGTAGGCGCTTATGCTACCAGTGCTGCTGCCACTACAGGACCCCGATGCCACTCTAATGGCAAACATTAAACTCAATTAACTATAGGATTAGTGTGCGAATAGTCTACAAGAAAAATGTATATAGATATTCGCTGTGGAAAGCCGTTCTCAATGCCAATACCGATGCCATGAAACTTATCATAGCCTATGGTTGTGCCGATTCCATGGTAACCGCAGATTCTGTAAGCCCGGCCTTCCCTATCACTCACTCTCTCGACGCGATTTCCCAGTATTAACAGCTCATACTATAGCTATACGTCAAATGCAATACGAGTTGCCATTCAAATACAATAGGCATACAAATCTATGGGATGCGGACTGCCGTTCCCCTGTTCGCCACAACGGCACACAACTTGTTTTCCAAGTAATAGCTCAGGTATACACACACCGCATACCTGTGCGCCTAAACTGCCTTTGATGATCAGGAATGCCATACATAGGGAGTCAGGTGTAGGAACGGTGTGTGTGTTGTATTTCTCTCCCCCTTTTCAAAGCGACCACTTTTATCGACTCATTCCTTATATACAAGTCTTTATAAGTCTTGTATACATTTCTCTCCCTTTCCATAGCCTTTGAGCGAGAAATGTAATGTTTTTTAATAATCATTCGTCGATTGCATTCAACATTTGCATTGAATTTCGTTTTCTGATGATAATCTCAACGGCCGCTCACAATACAATTTATATATACAGTATAAGTTCTCTCCCTTTCCCATCATCTCATCCCTTCCCACCCGTTCCCCTCTCCGCCTTTAAAATTGAATTAAAAAACTTTTCATAACTTTTTTCTGCAATCGAAAGATTCAAATCTCTTATTAATCACTTATTAAAGCATTAAAATATGAGTTACTTTTTCCTCAATTACCGCATATTTCTGAAACAAATGACTTAATTTTGTAACAATTTTTGCGTTTAAAACCAAAAAACATAGCACTTAATGAACACAACTACGAAAAAACAAGACAAATATTATAATAGATTTGCATTTTATTATTTGTTTTCAAATTAACCTAAAAATCTTTGAAATTAAATGATTTTATATTAAAATGAAGTGTGTGTGTGTGTTTCTCGCATACAATATAAAATCAAAAACAAAAATCTAATAAATTAAACCTTTATTATAATTTATACTGTAATGTAATGCATATACTGTTTAAGGCATCGGAAGAAATACATAATTTTTTCGCAAATAATTTAATTTTATAATTAATAATAAATTCTTCGAAAAAACAAGAAGTAATGTAAAAATAAAAAACATAAATTCATATTTCATATCTGCATTTTGCTTGGGACTGAATGTAAAGTGAAAAACTGTCCGACAAAATAGTTGAACTCAAAAGTTGTACTCAAATGAAAGCAAAACTTTGGTTTTTAATAATAAATTATTTTCTCAATACGTTTTGAACGACGCTTTTCTCGTGTCAGATATAAGTCGCGAATCCATTAATCATACGATAAAAAAATAGTTTCTTTTAATACTCTCGACTGTCCTCTAACACAGGACTAGTCGTCCCATTCGTCACCATCGCTGGCGCCGCCAGAGTCGCCGTCGCTCTCATCCGTGTGATTGATCGCCCGGTTCCTCTCGTTCATGGCTCGCATGAGCGCCTCCTTCAGGCCGCCCGCCTCGTCCGTACTCTTTGGGAGGGGTTTGAGGGGCCGGTCATCCACTGGCCTCAGACCCACTCCCTGTTTAATTTGATTTAGCAGCGCATTGCGGGGGTCGTCGCTGTTGGATGTGTTGCTTTTGTTGGAGTCCGAGTCGGCCTCCACGTGCTTCAACTGGTTTCCCCGTCGGATCTGGTCCATGAGTGCCGACCTGCTGTCCGTTACGGGCGGCAGACTAGCCGCCGGCGGCATAGGAGGCCCAGACATCGGCGGTGGTGGGGGCGGTACGGGTGCTCCGGTAAACGGCATGGGTGGAGGGGGTGGTGGGGGCGGCGGTGCAGAGCTGGGCATCGGTGGAGAGGCTGCCATTGGCGGCGGTGGTGGTGGTGGAGCTGAGATGGGCATCGATGGTATCGGAATCGACGGGGCGTATGGTTTGTGTGGCGACCGACTGTGCAAATAGGATGACGAGGACGGGGGCGGCGGCGGTGCGTGCGTTGGGATCGATGGCGAGTCCGAGACGTTGTGACCCGAGTGTTGCGGCGGATGATTGCGCTGATTGTTGTGGTGTTTGGGCTGTTGTGGCGGCATAGAGGCGATCGGCGGCACCGACGGTATAGGAGGCACGCTTTTCACCTCTTGGAGCGCGGCCTGAATACCGCCGTTTTGCTCGAGGAAGTCGTAGATGAAGTCGCGAGTGTCCCGATCCTTGAGCTGCTCCTCCGAAATGCCGGCCTCTTGGAAGAAGCGCCGGAGCTTTGGGTCAACATTCTCTAAGTCGAAGCCAGTGCTGGGATTCCATCCGATGTGTTGGATGTGCTGGAAGTTGGAGGGCGCGCCGATCTGGTCTTTGGTCAGCTTTCTATCCTTCTTCTTGTCTTTCTTGCCTTTCTTGGGCTGACTCTGCAGCGAACTCAACGATTGCGAGCGATTAGCGGTGGCCGCCGGCACTGGTATGCGATCCCGCAGAAGAAGACAAATAAAGTTTTTAGTTTTTAATTCACGATTAAAATTAATTACTGTTTCGTGTGTTTGTGTCTCTCGTATATATATATAGTGTGCTATTAATTCATGTCATCAATAGTTTTGTGTGCAAATGACATAACAATTACCCGTAACTCCGGTGAGCGTCGGCTGTGGGGTGTTGTGCTGTTGGCTGTTCTGCAGTCGTTTCTCTGCAAAATGTGCACAAAATTAGACATTAAATCTGAATGGAAAGGCCAAAAGACAATGGAAAGGCACGTCAGCAACAAAACCTCAACACATCGGAGATGTTTTGTTAAGCAATTCAGGCGTAAAAACTGAGCCATCGATTAGTAATTACTTATGAGTGGAGTGGAGAAGAAGAAGATTGGGATTTAATAGGAAAATAAAGGCCTAAAAAACTCACGTTTTATCTCAAACACAAATCTAAAAAACGGCTTTAGGATTGCAATCAATTTATATGCGCTTATTATTCAGTGTTTTGTAATTATATTTTTTGGTCTTTTTCTTTCTCTCAACCCTTTTATATTAAACACTTTAATCGTTTACTTAACATAATTCTGGTGTTGGGCTATGCATTTGAAGGCAAATAAATATTTAGCGAACAGAAAAAAAATTATAATAACTAATCAATGCCTCAAATCGGCGATAAGACTATTCAATCAGATCACTAGTAATGAGATTATTATTATTTTGAATGTCATTTGAATAACCATTTTCATAGGCAATGGTTAGTGAACTCTCTACATATTATCCGAATTCCCCAATTCATTCAAAACGGTGTGTATGTATTTATTTTGCTTTTTATAATCATCGCAATCAATAATAGTATTGAGAGAGAAAAAATTCTGGCATTTAATACAACAAACGGTTGACTCGGATAGGAGTTTTGAATGCTTTTCTTATTGCCCAGATTTGACTGAAATTTATAGTTTATATAACGATAATCAGCAAAAAAAATTACAAATTACTGTTTGAGATATCAATCGATTGCATAGATTTGTGTTTTGTAGAGCAGTATTAATAAGTGAGAGAGACTGCGATTACGGGCGAGAAATAAGGGGAACACAAACAAACTATTGGCTATAAAAACGAGTCGAGAGAGAAGTAGTAAAAAAGAGGTTTTCATGTAGTTATTGAGAACTTGACTTACATTTTGACACAAACTTTAACGAGAAGTTTAGCCTAAATTTTCACTTAAATACTACTTCGATATAAGAGTTTTCATTAACTCTCGAAACAAAACGAGTGAAAAAAAAGTCTATCAAAAAATCGATGGACTGTTGCCGACAAGTGTTATGGTGTGTGGCATTCAGTTGTGCGACAATTAAAGCGAAAAATTCATTAACAATGAGATATTGACTTTCAAACGAAGCCAGCGATGAGTAAAGTTGCGAAAAACAGCTGATTTTTTTCGCAAAGCAATTATTTGTTTGCATTTAATTATGTTTTAAACGTATAAAAACATCAGATAAACCCAAAAATATTAAAATCAAATAGAATTTTGCGAATACAAGTCATTAAAATGTTAAATAAGTCTGGAGTCTAGTTTTTAAGACTTATTATTACAGGGATTTAAAAGCAATAAAATAGACGTCAAACAAAATGGGATAAAAAAATGCAATTTAAATAAAAGGCTAGACATTAAGGAACAGGTATTTTAGACAATACTATTATACCCATCCGTAAGAATAAGGATTTTTATATATTTTTGATTTTTAGAGCGCAGAGCCGAGAGAGAGAGAGAGAGAGAGAGAGATGAGTAATGTTTGAGTCCCACCAGCATTGATACCTTGTCTTCTCTGTCTTTCATTCAACTTCCCATGGATTGCATCCTTGAATTGCTTGGCTTCCCGATCGTTGGCGAAGTTCAGACCAGCCATACAGTCCTGTCCGCACAAATCAAACACAAAATACAGTATTAGAGCACCGGTATGTCAAACTGGTATCACACTAAGCTATTCTTGGACTAAATGTCTCAATTTACACACAATATTGTCATTTAGGGGTATATTTGTATACAAAATATAGATCATAAACACTATTATAATTGAATTGACATTAAAGGGTGTGTTTCATTGGCTATAAAACTGGTGGTAACTATAGATATATCACAAGAAATATGTCTTTACGTGAGCCTCGAATGTATGGAAGAACTCTCGGGGAGTGTTGTACTGAAACGTGTTATACAACTCCTGCTCCCAAACCAATTGCTGTCTCTGAAGACATAACAGATATACCAATTAATTAGTGATCAAACGTGTGGCTCAACTGAGACCATGAGTTGATACATACATCGAAGTCGTAAACCCTTATAAAGTAGGATCTCTTGGGGTTGTCTTTGACGAAACAGACCACTCCTGTGCACCGGATCTGCCATTTCGCGTGATGGGGCGCCTCCGTCAGCAACAGCTGCACCACTGATGTCGATAGTGTCTACGAAAGGGATAATCGGTGTCACAAATGGTTTATCACCAACTGATCTACCAATTGGTGGCCAACACTTACGGCACACTTCTTGCCCAATAGGCTGAAGACTACATCGTTTTCCTCTCTGGACAGCAGTAATGATGGCGTGTTTTCTGGTGGTAATGGTCTGCGGTTTTGATGATAATTAGTGGCCATTTGGTCATCGCTTGAGTACACGAGTGAATGGGGTTTTAGTAAATGATAAGCATTTATAACTTAATACACTATATATTAGTAATAACTTGACGAATAAAATTTCTATTAAATAAAAACTTTTTTCAATATAACTGTAAATATATTTAACAAATAATTAAGTGTTTTATTAATAAATAGTTTGCTATTTGTTTCACACGTTTTCAACACAAATAGCACATTATGTTGAGTGGAAATGCCTTTGAGTGCCTTATTATGTGATAATAAGGATTTATTTTCACTAATCAAACGATAAGTGTATTTAATCTGAGGGTATAATTGATTAAAATATGATACAAATTTATAATGTATGTTGCTCGTTTGCCATAATCAAATAAATCCTTGTGGTATTCAATTGCATTAAAAAGCTGTCATTTAAAGGCATTTGTATAATATTTTTGCAAAATAACTCATTCAACAAAAATGTCATGTGTTTGCAGTTTGCTAGACGTTCAATGGTTGGTTAGACATCTATTGCCCGGCATTTAGACTAATGTAAAGAATCTCATTATTTTAACATAAGATTCTGTAGTGGTTTAGGGTTTTGTATACAGAATTATGTTACAGAATATTCATGAGAAAAGCGTTAAACTCAACCTTTTTTGCCTATTATAGTCACTATCGAAATATTTGCATTGAATTCCTATGCGTTTAGTGTATGTCTGATAAATCATAGACATATCCCTCGTGTTATCTAATCCTATGTCACACTAATTATTGATATTTTATAAACACATTTAGTTTTGATAAATATTTAAATTTTTCATTTTTGAACATTGCAATTTATGTAAAGCTATAATGAGACATTGCACTTATTTTACATAAATATTTATAAAGTCATTAATTATTTCAAAGTAAACTCATTTTTGTGACTTTGACTTCTTTTCGGTGAAATTTGTATAGATTTTTATCTCATATTGTTTTGTAAGAATAGACTTCAGTAATTATTTCATATGAATTCCATTGCTAAGTAAATATTAATACAAATATCCTTATTAATAATACTTAAATAAGTTATTATACTTAAAATAGAGATTTAATAGCTTATAACGAAATTTCAAACTATTATTAGTTTAACGATTGCCTACTGTTTATTAGTTTTTAATGTAATTTTCTTATATATTCTTACTGTATTAATACCGTATATGCAGTAAATGTACAGTATTTTCTATACTGTATATTCATAATGACGTGTAAGTCATAAACAGGATAAGCATTAAGCTAATTGTTTACAACTAAAAATGATTAGTAAAGTGTTTGAAAATAATATCTCATAATTAGACACAAAGGTGTAATAAATATACCGTTAAATCAATCATAATTTTCCATAAGTAAGATAAATACAGTATATTAAATAATTTGATTCAAGAATTTGTTTTTCACATAAAATAAATTATATTAAAACAATGATTACTCTTATATTTCTAATTAAATTTAGCTACAAAACATCTTAAGACTTACCAAACTTTATAAACAATTCTCGTGTGGCTGTAATTCTGGTGTTTAGTAAACAAGAATCCCAACGATTCTAATACCTGTTCACTCGGTATGCGAATATTGGTTACAAAAGCAGGCGTCGACACGTTATATGTTTGAAAACTGTTCATTATTTAAATGATGAGAAAATCACAATAAGAAAGTAATCAATATTTTATTAATTGATAATCGATTTTACTTAAGAAATATATATTTCAGATCACACGTTAAAATTATAAATGCAAACTCTGGAAATGCAGTTTCATTTATGGTTGCTAACTTGTCTTAAGTTAATTTTGAGTCAACTTTTGAATTTATTTTATTTAAACTCAATTACATTTGCTTATAAATTATATACTACAATATATTGTCAAATTGAACAGTCAAAACCATCTTACATGTGGTTTTTATTTTTTACTGTTAACAAATATTGCAATGAAGTTGTATTATTAAAGTTATATTGACTTATATAGCAATTATACTATACCTAAAATAAATCGATTCAATAGTTCCTAGAAATAGGATTCCTTGAACTGCTTTAGTGTCTCAGTTTGTATTGCATTCATTATAAAATAGCAAATATTTGCGTTTGTGTGCCTCGGAATCATCAATTTTATAGATTTTAATTTTGATACCACAATTATACCAAAACTTATTGTAGTCATAGAGATATCGATATTAAAGTTTTATTAAGTTTTGAGATTTACATCATATACAAAATCTAATGTGATTTGAATACATAACGCACATAAACACACTTATGATATACAGTAAATACATACTTTTTTTACTGCAATATTAAAATGTTTTTCTAATTTTGAACATGATTAATAAGCAGGGTATTTAAGTAATTCTTATGCTATAAAAGGGAGATAATATTATAATTCTCTGTGAACATTAAGAAATACTTTTAATATCCACAAGTGATTAGTATTTTAATTAAACTTTACTTAAATTTATTTAAAATAAATGCCCAATATACAAGTTTCAAAAGGCATTGATTTGAGTTAAAAACACAGATTTTAATAAAATATATGGAAATATTTTGGAGAATCTTTTTAAATAAGTTAGTTTCAAAAGTTAATGTCATGGGTTTGATGAGCGACCGGTTGGAGCCTAAGAAGTCGGAACCAGTCATTGAAATGATGTCTTATACTTAAAGTTATTCTGAATCTTAAATCTGATCCAAACATGACTATAAAGACAACAAACAATTAAACTCTTATGTCGTCACAAAATTATATTACATTTTTTGCTTAATTTGTGATTTTAATTTTTAATTTCATTTTTGCGAGGTTTTAGAATTCATATTCAAAATTATTATTAAATGACTTTAATAATTCATATTATAATTGTGTATAACACAGATCAACTAATAAAAACTAAACTTTTAATAAAAGCTCTGAAATATTGAACTCTAATTAGAATTTATAATGTTTGCTTACTTAAATTGTTTTAAAAATGTTAATTTAAATCTTAGAATGTGTTTTTGTATTATATTTTTTGCAAAATAAAAACTTATTAATATAAAACATATGAAATTATGACTCGTTTAGGGAATTGATCTCAATTTCTCTATCGGATGATTTGCTACCAGCGGTGCCATCCTTATGGAAAAGCTCTTTGCTATAGCTTTGAATCATTTTGATGACCAAAAATGATACAATTAAGACACTGAGGCCTATGAACAGCTCCACCCACTGAATAGTAGGACTGGCCATAAGGAATAGCCGTACGGACGCGTCGCCGACTATACTCTGAGTCCATGAGGAATATCGACCCGTATTTGTAATCCCTTTGTCTTTATAATCGGTAAATGCGGGCGAATTTGTGATAACCTTTAGAGTTTGCGACCGAATACAGGTGCCGTTGAGCGACGGGCCTGGTATCCAAGTGTATTCATATCTCTAATGATAAATTGGTGCTAATTTGGTGTGAATTTTATAGCTAGACACAAACCTTGTTATTTTTAGTGTCGGTGCACTCTTTGTCAGTTGTTTTGACAACTTTTTCACCAGAAAAATAAGACAATACATTGAAAGTAAATGCATGAAAGCCCCACAAATGAGCCACATTTGTCTGGAATTGAACTCCCAATGTATCTGCAAATTAAAATCAAATCAAATATATTTTAATTTTGTTACTAAAGTAAATACTGAATATAAAATATAAATATTTTACTTTACAACATACTAACCATTTTTCTTGGTGCTAGTGCCAACCGTGTTAAATAGAGTGCAATTTGTGTTAATTAGGTAGCAATCGATTAAGTTTTGCACAACACTTTCATCCGCCACCAGTCGATCCGTTTGGTTCAGAGCTGAAGATTTATTATTAGACAATAACTGATAGATTGTGTTTGAGATCATTGTCGATATGTTTGCCAAATGTTTGGTGAGATTCTTATCGGTTTTGTTTAGTCTATTGAAGTCGTCGTATAGACTGTTATAGAATTTATTCGTATATTCTTTGCGATGGTTAGCGATAACGACACCAATGAGTGACTCATTATCTTTGAGAAAACTCTGGAGCGATGATGGAGGCAATGGTTGGCCATCTGAGACACTCTCAACCTCCAGACCCTGTAAACCATTTGCATTATCTTTGATGAGATTCTGCAAAGAATTCAATTTGTCGTTTGAGTCCAAGTTTTTGTGTATAAAAAGTTTGCTATCGTTTGAGTGAAACGCCAATTGATTTAATTCAATGAAATGCGAGATATGTCTGGAAGTGATGGACGATATGTCCATCGGATCATTGATTTCGCTGGGAATGGGATCTTCAGTATAAAAAGTTTGCTATCGTTTGAGTGAAACGCCAATTGATTTAATTCAATGAAATGTGAGATATGTCTGGAAGTGATGGACGATATGTCCATCGGATCATTGAATTCGCTGGGAATGGGATCTTCTTGAGGAAATTTGTTGGCATTCATGTTGAAGACCACAGAACTGGAACCGATGTAATCAAAGGCCTCGCCGTCGAAGAGCGCGAATAAGACATTCTTTTTGTCACCCATTTGTTTGATCCGATTCTTCACCTCTATTTGGTTTAATGTGTGGACGACTGATAGTAGGCTTATGACTGATGTGAGGGCTGAGTCGGCGCCGGGAGATATGCCACTGAACATCGAGAATGAGTCCAATCTTGAGGCCAACACTACCACTGAGTTATCACTTATGGACTCGTTTTTCGATGTAATCAATAGATTACTGAATATATTGTATGCTCTGAGGGGTCGACAGAATGGCTCTAAAAATGTATTAAATTTCGTTATAAAATAATTTAATATATCTATCGATGCCTTGCCTTTCATTACGAAAGAGATTGGACTGCTTTTAGTGTAGGACTTCCGCATACAAGTGACGGCATCCTTGGCCGCAAACATCTGCGACTTCAACTCAATGGCACAGAGAGGCCAACGGGAACTGAATTTCTTGAAACACTATTTTTCAATTGAATTAAATGTGATTTAATGCTAAAGAATGTGTAATTGAATTGAATGACTAACTCGTCTAATATCTTGAATATGGGTTTCATTTTTGATGTAAAACATAGGGAACGGCCAGTCGTTGAACATGAGATTCTGGTCGAGAATATCATTGTCTCGTTTGTCCACAACATTCCACTTGTGTTGCGAACAGTGGCTGTAATTCTTGCAATTGATATAGAGATCAAAGTAGTGATTGGGACACGACTTGTCTGGTGAATGCGATTGCAATTCATCCACTTCTGACTCCATGTCCATTAATAAGACACCACTTATTCTGTCTGACTTTGACTTCAATTTGTTGAGAGTTTCACTGAAAATAATTTTAGTTTTCGTTGACTTATTTATAAATTTACATAATTTTATAATTACTTACAAATTGAAATACTTGGGAGTCATGACTGCCACATAGACTTTGACTTCAATTTGTTGAGAGTTTCACTGAAAATAATTTTAGTTTTCGTTGACTTATTTATAAATTTACATAATTTTATAATTACTTACAAATTGAAATACTTGGGAGTCATGACTGCCACGTATGGATCATATTTACCGGTGTTTAGGATTGTATTCAAGTCCTCATCACTGCTGACGATGTGAACTCTACCCACACTTCCCCTGTATTTGGCTATAGAAATAGAAATGTATACAAGTTTTTATAAGTTTATGAATACTGTATATATGTTAGAAAGCATTTAATCCAAGAATTATAATTTAATAAAAGTTATGTTTGAATCAAATATATATCTCAATACATTGACATCCGATTTGATTCGTGACATTCAATCTGCGAACACAAAAGTACTTATTCTCCAAAGGCTTGTATATCTTTGTCTCAATTCTGTCACTAATTGCTATAAAATACAATTAAATTCATTTAATAAACAGGAAATTTACTAAATTATGAATTTTTACAGAATTGAAATATACACAGAAATGAAATTAATACAATGTTTTGTAAATTCATTATGTTTGATTATAATTTATAAATTAAAATACTATACAATAATTGTATTACAATTATATCAAATAATTTTATATTTTTGAATGCTTTCTAATTAACGCATTTCTATTCAACTTCGAGACAATTGAATACTAAACGTATAATAAGGAAGCGCTAAGATTTCAACAATACTTTGAACGCGAGTTTAGAAATCAAATCATTTGCACGAATTTTGTCGTAACTGTCAAACACTAATCACTCACTCATTGCTTGTATTCAACACTGCATTCAATTCACACTTTTTTCTCATTGTGTGTCCACTCGTGTCCTCAAAATGTCTTCAGATTTGGTTTACAAGACTAGAGTTGTGCTCAAAATCGTGTCATTTTCTGATATGAAGGACACCACTCTCTACAGTGATGTCTTCCTCATTGGATCAGATGAATGGCAAATACAAGTCAATGACAGAGTGGAAGATAAGGATTATCTCAACTTATATCTGCATTTAAAGAAAAGCAATGAGCCATCAGTGGTCACACAATACACTGTCTATTGTCTGGACTCACAGTATGAGACATTTGAAAGAGGTGTCACCCAAAAAGTTGTCATCAAAGTGACCAATGGTCAGGGTTGGCCTAAGCTTATTTGTTTCGCATCACTTACGGATCAAATGGACAAATATCTGCCCAACGATAGCTTCACCATTGCTATGGATATCACAACTTATAAGACACTAATTGTTGGCATTAAACGAAAGCTATGTTTTGAGAACAGCTTTAATACCAAAGATCTCAATGACTGTCGACTCGTTGTCCAAAAGAAGGAGTTCTTCGCCTCGAAAGCCGTTCTCAGCACTCAATCAAAGGTTTTTCAGAAGATGTTTATGGATGACATGACAGAGAAGAATACCAGTAAAGTTGTTATCCCTGACATCGACGCGATGTCTTCGAGGAGTTCTTGAAATTCATTTATTTCGGGACTTCAGACAAATTGTCACAAATGGCGGAACAACTCATTTATGTGTCCGAGAAGTACAATGTGAGACAATCTCTGGAGAGTCAATGGCACCACTTCTTAGGAGACGACCAGACGCTCATCAATAGTCTGGTAACTGGTCTGAGGAGTGAACCCAAACCAAAGCTGTCGATACAAATCATGTCTTTTACGTACAGTTACTCCGAGTCCGAAGTTGGGGCCGAAGATGAGTCTCAAAACGAGTCTAAAGCCAAACATTAAATGTTGTAATGAATGGATGTCTTCAGTAAGACTTCAATTATCTGTCAAATTCAGTGAATTTCTTTAAATGTCTGTAATTTTAATACCATTTCAATATATCTTACATTTCATAACTATTTATAATTATTAATGTATTATGTGTTGAAAATCATAATTTTTATAATCAATAGTAGAAAAAGTGATTCAATTAATAAAAATATTTTCATTTAATTTAAATGTGCAAAAATTAATTGTAATGATTTTGTTATTAGCCATGAATTGTGACAAATTACCTAATTTTGGCATTTAAAACAATTACTGATATTTTTGATATTTAAAAAAACTAAACTTATTTAACACGATATATAAATACTATATTTGCATTAAAATGGGTATTCAATCTGTAATATAAAAAAGTATTTATTCTCCAAATTCTTGTATATCTTTGTCTCAATTCATTTCGTTATAAAAAACAAAAATCATTAAAACATGAGTTTTTACTGAATTTAAATCTAATATAAAACCCTTTATTATAATTAAAATAAAAATAATTTAATTAATGAAAAATAGATTAATTATTTAAATTTAAAAATATATATCTTGAGTAAAAAATAAGTAAATTGATTGCAATGTATTGAATAAACTTTTTAATAGTCATTAAAAGTGTAGTCAAGTTATTGTTGGGGATAAGCATTGACTCAATGAATATGACATCCTTTTCACACAATTTTCACATTTCTATACGAAGAGCTGAAGACAAAGTGCATTGAATTCATTGACAAGAATTTGAGACAATCACTGGAGAGTGGATGGCATCACCACTTAGCCGATAACCAGGCGCTCATCAATACTCTGGTGACTGGTCTGAAGAGTGAGCCCAAGCCTAAGACGTCGATACAAACCATGACTTATACTTACAGTTACTTCGAGACTGATGTCGAATCTGAAGAGGAATCCAAAGACGACGACAAAATGGAGTAATCAATGGATGCCTTCATTAAGACTTCAATTATCCTTTAAAATTCTGTGAATTTCTTTAAATGCTTATAATTTGAATACCATTTCATTATGCCTTACATTTCATATAATTATTTCTGTATTCTATGTTCAAAATGATAAACTGTATAATCATTAGTTGAAAATCTGATACTTTATGTTAAATTCTGTCATAATTTGCTATAAAAATAATTCATTTAATAAAAAGAAAATTATTGATTAAAATGTGAAAAACAAGTATTTAAATATCAATTTACATAATTATAATTATCATACTATTAAAAATAAATAGTTAAAGCTTTAAAATAATCTTAATTCATAATACTGTACAGTATTTAATATTATACGATAGGAATAAATATGTTTCAATAGGTATTTAGTTGTATTAATGACTGCATATATCGTTATTAATAGTTTTTAATAGTTATTAAAAGTGGAGTCAATTTAGTGGAGGAGTAAAGGACTCAATGAATGTGACGTCGTTTTCACGCATTTCTATACATTTGTGTCGAAAACCTATTCTAAAGCCAAACACCAATCCATCACTCATTCAAACATTGCATTCAATTCACACTCTTGTGTCTCACTGTGTGTCCACTCAATGTCCACAACAATGTCACCGCAATTGATCCATAAGACCAAAGCTGTGCTCAAAATAAGTCACTTTTCCTGTGTTGAAGACAAAGAAGTGTTGAGTGATATCGTAAGCAACGGATCCGATGAGTGGCGGATCAGAGTGGACCCCAAACGCAAAGACGATGAATATGTCGGCGTTTATCTGATGCTAACCAAAGGCAATGAGACATCAGTTGTGGTGGACTTCAGCCTCTATATCGTGGACCCAATGGCGCGTCCATTGGCCCGAAGAAAGGCAAACAAATGGGTGTTCAGTGACGTGAAGACCTATGGCTGGAAGACATTCATCAAACACTCCACACTCACGGAACAAATGGACAAATATATGTCAAATGATGTCCTAACCATTGGCCTCGAGATCACCACTTATAAGACACTATCCGCGGGTGATATCAAGATTTTGTGCCTTAAGAAGAGTTTTAATGACAGCGAACTCAATGACTGTAAGCTTATTGTCGCCGATAAGGAGTTCTTCGCCTCCAAAGCGGTTCTCAGCTCTCAATCGGAAGTCTTTCATCAAATGCTCACTTCAGACATGACTGAGAAGAAGTCCAATGAAGTGATTATCGATGACATCGACGCCGATATCTTCGAGGAGTTCCTGAAGTTCATGTATTTCGGAACTTCAGCCAAACTGAATGACATGACTGAAGAGCTTCTGTACGTCTCCAACAAATACATGGTTTGGGATCTGAAGAAGATTTGCGAGAATTTGCTTTTCATGCGAATCAATACCACGAATGCCTTCAATGTATTGCAAACTATGGATAAATACAATAACGAAGAGCTGAAGACAAAGTGCATTGAATTCATTGCCAAGAATTTGAGTCAAACACTGGAGAGTGAATGGCATCACATCGTCGGCAACGATAAGGCACTGATCGGGCGTCTGGTGACTGGTCTGAAGAGTGAGGACAGGCCTCAGATGTGGACACAAAGCATGTCCTATACCTACAGCTACTTCGAGGCTTAAGATGAACCGGAAGACGACCACAATATGTAGTAATCAATGAGTGAATTATTCGACAAATTCTGTAAATCTCTTTTAATTCGTGTAATTTTAATACCATTTCATTATGCCTTACATTTCATATAATAATTTCTTGTATAATGTGTTTTAAATTATAAAGTGAACAATCGTTAGTACAAAACTGATTCAATAAAATAATATAAATATTTTTAGTGATACTGTACCGGTATATCAGTTTAACTAATAATTCAATGTTTTTGTATAACAATACTTAAATGGCTTTTTATTATTTAGAACTTAGTGTAGTTATAATTATGGTATAAGTTTTATAAGAAAAGTTATCAATTAAATACTGTTATCTGATTAAATTTGCTTTAAAATTATGAATATACTGTATACTGCAACATAAAATTCTTAATTAAAAACAATTTTGCCAATGAATAGAGTAATTAATTGAAAGTATTTTCGAAAAAATAAAATTCAAATTATACTTAATTTAAAACATTAATCTTATATTCTTAGGAAAAACGAGTATTTCTATGGAAATATTGTATAAATTTATTTGTAAGGATATATAAAGGTTTAAGAAATTTTGTGAACAGAATTTGATGATTAATTGAATGCAATTAATCTCTTATGTAATCTTTTGATTAATAAGAAGCTCACGAATAATAAATCAAATTTATTAGCGCATTGGGTGTGAAATGATAAGCCATTAGTATATAAACTACATAAAAAATATATGAATAAATAGCGAATAAACAAATAAATTGTTATTAAAACTCTAACTTATAAATAGTATTCACTCCCAAAACAGTCATATTTAATAATAATAGCAGCGAAACATCAAAATTTATTTGCTTTTTTATGTGACATTATATGAAAATAGATTTCAATTAATGCTTTTTATGAGTAAAATTCCTGTTGAATAACGTACTCACAGAATATTCTCTATGTATTCACAACAATAGATAGCAATTCTGTAATGCATTTTCACTAACATTTAGTACAATGAAAGTAAAATTAAATTTAATGACCTGTAACTAATTATATGACAAATATAGTAACACTGAATAATTATAACGATGTATAATTAACCTATAATCCTATTAAGCTATACTAAAATTGTATTTTAAAATCAAAAACCAAATTAAAATTATATCAAAAACCAAAACTTCAAATACAAATCTGAGTTCACAATAGGAGCCGTTATTTATGAGCGACTGTAAGGCAAACACTGTATTGACAGCCGTTTCCACAACTATTGACGAAAAACATTGGATTTAATGTGAATTTAAACTCAATTAACGTTTCATTGGTTTTAGTTATCATTGAAAAGTCACTGAAATAGACACAAAAGACAATGAATTCTTCATATCAGGCGATGATTAACGAAAGGAAACGCATGGAAATGGAGGCCGAGATGAGTCGGTAGGTGCCGGCGGTGACAGTCTTACCGCCGATGACCACACACTGCCTGCGCGGACACACCTATTGATGATTGTCTTGTTTTGTTGTCCATAGGTTTGAACAGGAGATCAGTTCCCGGCCGGCGTTTCCCAACAGTCAGCCATCGTTTGCCGCGAATCCCATGCAATCGGCGCCGACACCACACCACCAGTTCATACCACACGCCATACAAAGACAATTACCACGACCTCAGCCATCAGCCCATCACCCGATGCACGCCTCTTATGACTCGCAACCAAACGGTAAGTCAGAGACCAATGGATTCTCACTCTCGAGTGTATTATCTCATATGAATTGGTGTCTAATTTACATGTCTTTGAATATCTCCAGTGAATGCTATGAACAGTGGTCTGCAGTCGACGGTTCCGGCGGCCAATACAGCGCCCACGACTGCAACGAGTGGTGGCGCCGCCGCCGCCACCGGTGGCCCCGCCGTCGCCTCCAAGAAGTCGAAGTCGAAAGAAGACAAGGGAAAGAAGCCGAAGAAGATGTTGCGAATGGCGGGCGGAACCGTTTGGGAGGACAACACGCTGGCGGAGTGGGATCCCGAAGACTTCAGGATCTTTTGCGGCGATTTGGGCAACGATGTGACCGACGACGTGCTCAGCCGTGCGTTCGTTCGGTTCCCATCTTTCGTGAAGGCGAAGGTCATTAGAGATAAGCGAAGCAACAAATCCCGGGGCTATGGGTTCGTCAGCTTTAAGGACCCGCAGGACTTCACGCGCGCTATCAAAGAGATGAACGGTTTGTCATATTTTTGTTGCTTTTTCATCGNTCTTTCGTGAAGGCGAAGGTCATTAGAGATAAGCGAAGCAACAAATCCCGGGGCTATGGGTTCGTCAGCTTTAAGGACCCGCAGGACTTCACGCGCGCTATCAAAGAGATGAACGGTTTGTCATATTTTTGTTGCTTTTTCATCGTTTTATTGTTTTACTAGTGATTAATGAGAGGTTTTTCTATGAAAAGAGTGTTTTTTGTGTTAAGAATAGACTGGATGTTTGAATTGAATTTTTTGTTAGGTTTTTATTTTCAAAAACTTTACACAACATTGAAATCTTTAGATAAAACAATATGTAATTAATTATAATAATATAATAATAATAATAATATCAATGGTAATAATGAGTTAGTAATATATTCATACCGTAATATTAATGATATATTTAGAGCTATAGTTTTATACTTAAAATCTTATAATTATTAACAAAGTTTTCGATGAAAAGTTTTCTGATGTCTCTTTTGGTCTTAATATTTATGTGAATTTTTGTTTCAATGACTTCATCGAGACATTTCTCTCTATTGTTGTGAATGTTTGCGATTACTTCAGATGTGTTTTGATTTGAATACTTGTAAATATGATGTCTCTTTTGGTCTTAATATTTATGTGAATTTTTGTTTCAATGACTTCATCGAGACATTTCTCTCTATTGTTGTGAATGTTTGCGATTACTTCAGATGTGTTTTGATTTGAATACTTGTAAATGGGTTACTCTACCGATCAATATGTGCCAAAGAGGTGCGGTACTGACCACCGGTGTCCGTACGGCTTAAGCTGTTTGTGGTCCTGTTTGACACGAATGGCTTGATTTGCGTTTATTATATTGGCCTCACTTTTGGCCACATTTGCCAACAGTTGTCTCATTTGTGTGACTTTCGAGGCTTTCGGTGTCGTGTCGAACATCGACGCGATGTTTATGTGTTGACCACTCGGTCCCCAACCCTTTGATAAGAAGAGATCGCGTTTGTACTTATTGTGGCCGCCATTCCTCAGCTGCCAATAGGGGGTCGACCTATGAAATAGTTGTATGAGTTGTTCGCACGATATGCCATAAGACGCCGGCAATATGTAAGGACAGGGAGCTGTCTGTTTGGGGAATATAGGTATGGCGTTATCGATGAGATCCTGCGATGAGTACAGATCTCGTTTGCCATTCGCCAGAATTCGTCCCGTTTTATACTCTTCGTGCAAGAAGTCGGTCAGCGCGTCATAACCGGGCGTTTCGGGCGACCACACGTTGTAGTACATGTCGTGCGGTGTCAGCCGTAAGGGCTGGTAGTAGTCGTACTCGTCTAACGTATCGATTATCCTGTTGTCGTTGTCGTCCCAGTCGTTCCAGTTGTGGTAATCCTCTGCCGCAGGAGTTGACAGCGAGTCCGTGTCTTGTGGTGCGGCTGTAGTGGGATTGGGCCTCGGGTTGAGCGCCGATAAGTCTATGTTGAGTGACTTTGGCTCTGAATTCTGTGGGTTATCAGCCGCACCGGTCGGTAGTTTGTAGAGCGGAGAGCCGTGTAATGTCTTGTAGTTATTATTAGAAAGTTTTGACAAATCAATTGACATTAATTTCTTGAGCCGAGCGCTAG